GAGATTCATTTTCCTCTGCTGAAGTGAGGGGGAGATTTGTTGAGCTAAAACAAACAGGATACAAAGTGCGTGGTCATGAAACATACTAATCTAGCTTTGTGTGTGTGTGTGTGTGTGTTTTTATTGCAGAGCTGTTTTTGGTTTGAATGCCTGCTTACGAGGCACTGGTGGCGTAAGTGTGGTTAGTGAGGCGGTAACACTGCAGGATAGAGGATATTGGAGTTTTACCATTTAAGTGGCCTTAAGCGTTGCTTGCTTTGTGTTTCTCACTGGCCAACACAAGAAAGCTGTTTGCATTTTAACAGCTTCCACAAAACAGGCGTGAGATGAAGAAGGTTGTGGGCAGAGCAGATTTCATTGGATTATTCCGTTTTTAACAAATACAAGAACATTTTTTACCACGTCTTTGACATTAAAATGTTTAAAGGTTCATCAGATATGACCGTAGACATATAAATTGGTCATAAACGCAGGGTTTTGAGAGTGAAGCCAGTGGAAGGGCCTGGAAACTCCCGGATTACCAACAGGGGGCCACTCCACTCATTGAATAACAGAAATCACTTTCTATAGAAGTTTGTGAGGAAATTAGGTTACTTTGCACTTGATATAAACCTGTTCATACAAAATATATGGTGTTTATTGCGTAATTTGTGGTCCCACTGAGAGTACAATAGAAGAGCAAGCACAGTAGGCATTGCGGCACAGATACCATATGATTGGCAGCGAGTCCTGTCCAATGGTTGCAGGGGTAGTTGGACCGGCAGTCTCCTCAATCTCTCCGTCTCTCTCTCTTCTCTGGATATGGTAACCTTTGATTTCAAAAGACCAAGATGTGGTGCTGGACTTAATGCCAAACTTGACGCTTTAAATCAGCTATGGAAAAACCAGTGGGTGACATCACGGTGGGTTGCCACTTGGATTTGACCAATTTTGAACAAGAGAGCTGTGAAAAGAATTCTCTAAAGTGTTTTAGCGGCTGATCTTTCAGTATCCACCCTCAATTCACCCCCATTAAAAGGAAATTAAGGGGGCAGTTATGGCCGCTCATATATTGCCTACACTCTTTTCTCGCTTTTCTCTGTCGCTGGCGGTTGTCCTGAACTCCACCCCGAAACTTTTCCACTCTTTGCTTTCTATTTTCTGTCATTTGAACTCGTATTCAGCCTCACTCTAAGTTGATAGTCTCCTTTTTTCAATGTTTAATGGCCTCCGTTTATCTCTCTTTCTCCCAAGTTTCGCATCCTTTTCCCCTGTGCTCTGTTCTTTCTCCCCTCTTCACTTATGTGCTCATCTATCACCTTCTTTACCGTCGCTACATTGCTCCCTTTCTGTCCTTTTTTTTCCCTTCATCCCATCCGCATGCTATCTCATCTCTGGCCTCCCCAATACCAGAGCCATGAAATCGTCTCTCATCACTCCCTCTTCTTCTCAACTCATTCATCTCTCTTACTCTCCCTCATTTCCATTTTTCTGCCTGCTCCCCTCTCTTGTCACCCCCCTCACCACCACCACACATGCCCTCTCATCGTTTGTCGTCAGATCTTGTTCGAGGCGTCACACTGCCTCGGTCATTGTCCACCCAGCTTGCCTTCTTAATCTTTATTTTATGCTGTCTGTTTACTTATCACTATCATCCCACCCCCCGCTGCACCCAATTCCTGACCCTTCAATGATTCCACCCTCCTCTCCCCACTTTGGATCTCCCCCCAGGGGAATGGCTTTGCTGCAACAGCTTTTTGAGGTATTGACATTTCCACTGATACAGGCCTGGTTATCTATCAAGGCCAGGGCTGGAGTGTAATGGCTCTGTAATTGGATAAGATATAGGATATTTGCCAAGGGAGGGGGATACATCGCAAGCCGCTTCGCCCTCTATTTTATCATATGACTATCATCTCTCATGCCTACTCCACCATGCTTGGCATTCTCCTACTCTCATACTTTTCTTGCTCTCACTATCTCCCTTTCTCTCACTTTGTCCTCATGTTTCACTCTCCCCCTGTCATTTCACAATCAGTCACTCTCCTTCACTTTCTCTTTCTTATCTGTGTTTGTGTCTTTTGGAAAAAAGAATCCAACACAGAGAATCAAGGAAGATGACCGTGACATGCCCCGTTCGCAGTCGCCACCCACTCTGCCCGATAATCATTTCACAGATGCATTCTGTCACAGCATCGGCTGTTTGCTGCACAGATACATCCTCAGAGCTTGGTGTGTGATATGAAAGTGAACACTGGTCTCCACATCGTCTCCACATCGTCTCCACATCGTCTCCACATCATACATCTGTGTGCATCTTTCTTGTATATTTCATACAAAATATACACAGGTGTTTGGTGGCTATGGTTTTCGTAGTAGCTGACATTTAGCACAATTGTGCCATTTTTATTCCCACTCCCTGTTATTTTTAACGGCAGATGAAATCAGGTCAGTGGGATCCTACCCAACATTTCTTTGTCCCTTCTGTCTAGCAGTTGTCTTGCTCATTTCTTGTTTACGCACCATTTAACCTGAGGCTCATTTAACCTGCGAGGTCCAGAGGAGTTTGGCCCTGCCTCAGGTAGACACATGGAGGTGTGACGGGGGACACAATTTGTCTGGCAATGAAGACAGGGCCCTGTTCAGGCTAGCACAAGGATGCTAACTGCCACTGAGTGGATTATAGAACAAACACAGCCATCCATTCCAACTGTTGACAATGTAGCCATGGGAAAATGGCACTGAAATGATCTCTATGGTGCTTTCAGACAGAGTCATTTTCTTCAAAGCAATATTTCACCTTGGTAAAAATGTCTCCCAACTTTGGTGCACCCATAGGAGATCATAAAGCCTTCATCTTTGGGGCAGTGTTTTCACAAACACCAATCGGCCGCAGCATTAAAACCAACTGCAAGTCCTCCAATGCTGCCAAAATAGCTCTGACCCAGAGGCACGGACCTCTGAAGATGTCTGACACCAAGATGTTAGCTTCAGCTTGTTTTTCAAGGATATACAAAAGAGATCTGGAGGCTGAGTCAATACCTTGAACTTTTTCTTGATCAATCACCAATTCCACTACTGACAACTGCATACTGGGAAGACCCCACCAGCCCTGCCCCTTTGGAGATGCTCGAACCTGTCAAGCCATCACAATTTGGCCCCTGTTCGAAGTCGCACACATCCTTATGCTTGCACATTTTTCCTGCTTCCAACTTCAAGGACTAACTGTTCACCTGCAGCTCAACATATCCCACCCTCTGACAGGTGTCAGTGTTAGAAGAGAGAACAGTTTACAGTGAGTCAAATAATTAAATTAGTTATTAGAATAGCCAAAGTCAAGGGGAAACTAGTTCAATTTTTAATCTATTAGTATTCTCTTGCAAAGATCAACAGGTGTACTACTTCTTACATTATATGCACATCTATTCTAGTTCACCAGAAGTAACCATCCAGCCAGGTTACTACAACAGTAAAAAATTACAGGAAATCCAAACCAATGCTACAGCTATATATGTGGAAAAACAAAGATGTAGCTTCACAGCTTCTTCACTAAATCCATATCAGATATGAAGCCTCACTTCTACTCCTGCCTGTGATTCACAGTAGGTTTTGTCTGTGGGAATTCCTGACTGTTGAGTCAGTCGAGCGGGTCAGGATGGCAGGGCGGGGCAATCATTTGTTTTGCACTCGTCAGCAACACCACACATTTCTGCTTTCACTCATTGTGCACAGCGGTGGAGGGGGAGAGCAGGAGGTTGTTGACGATGGAGAAAACACAGAGGAAAGGGAAACATCCTCCATCCTTCAAAACTGATTTGTGAAAAAATGTACTCAAGTACTCGAACAAAGCAACGTTAATGATACTCAGCTTTGAACAATTAAGATTATATAACCAAGATAGGCCTATATTAAATACATTCTATATATTTAGAAAATCCAATCCAGGATTTATCACCTATGGTATCCCCGGTTGCCGCCGCTCAGCAAATGTTACATGATCTTGCTGTTTGCTGTCCACTGAAATTGCTACAACTTATTTTTATATTGACTACACACAGCACAGCGCAGCTATGCAAACTTTGCAAGCCATGCAAACCTGCTAGTAGATGCCTGCACGCCCAGTGAGTGTACTGTACTTTGCAGCACCCAAAAAAGCACACATTTACCAACTAGAGCACAGAGAGTCCTGTGTTTTAAATAATGGTAATATAATGAATGCACTCATTAATTGTTAGTATTTGCATTTTTATTTATTTACACATCTATGTAAAGGCTAATTCCTTTGTAAATCTATGTACAGGTTTATGTAGAACTTTATGATGAATGGATATCATCACAAAAAAAATAGTAATTGTGGTTTCTTTCCTGGCTTGTTGTTTGTCTCTGAGCTGAAACTGTGTCGAGCTGTAGTTATATGTGTGATGGTGTGATCCCTTAGCATTTCTAAAATATTATACTGTGTCTTGCATACGGAATCCACCCTGAAATGTCAATTGCCATTACTCCAGAAGTGGAAGTTTCTGCCATGTTGAAGAGTGAATAATTTGATAGCACAGAGGAAAAGGGTACTAGTTACATATCTTTATAGTTGACAGGTTCTACCCATGTATGCAGAGCTCTTCATAAAATATTACTTCCCCCATGCTGTCCCTGTGTCTGTCTTGGAGCAGATGTCTAGGCCACTCTCTGCTGGACACTGACCATTAATAATAGGGCAGAGTATAAGCCTAAAACTACACATTTTCTGTGTGAAGAGTCATTATGGTGGTACCATGCTGCTTCTCTGTCTGTCTGGCACTCAAGAGCTGGTCTGTCCTGAACATCAGCAATTCTCTCTTCATGTGCAACAGATAGCACTTGCTAGTAATACATATATATATATATATAAGAAAAAAACCTATTAACTGCAATTTGTTATTTTGTATGTATGTAAGGGTCAGGAATTTTAAAAATACTATTCCAACTAAACCACTAAAGCAATTTAATTCAACACTAATTTTAAATTATCACAAACTCTGCAGGTGCCGGTGGCTGGTCACCTCTGGACAGTGACCATTACCAGTGGCTACAGGTGGACCTGGGTTCCAGGAAGCAGGTGAGCGCCATAGCAACGCAGGGTCGCTACAGCAGTTCTGACTGGACAACGCGGTACCGTCTCCTCTACAGTGACACAGGACGAAACTGGAAACCGTATCACCAAGATGGCAATATCTGGGTGAGTAAAAAAGAAATAGGTATGTGAATTGTGTGTGTATGTGTGTGTTTGATTGAAAGTTGTAATTGTACAAAGCTGTTTACATGCATTGCTCTGAAAATACCTGGCCCTGTATCAATTTTTTATTTACCGTGTGAATAATTTTCTCTATACTAATTTATGTGTGACTTTGAGATGTAGGTGTTAAAAGCGATAGTCATAAAGACAATATTTTAATGGTGATAGAAGACGACATGCTGCTGTTATTAGAAAATGAAAAGAATGTTTTCTTGTCATCATTATTCAAATGTGAAGGCCTCCTTTCACAATAAGGTAACCCAGAGCAGAAAACCTTGTGTGGGAGTAGGGCACATGGCGCACATACTTATTCATCAATCCATTATCTCAAACTTTATCTCATGTGAAATCTCAGCCAAAGACGCCATTCAAGCAGTGATGGGTTGAAGATGGAAAACATGTGGGACTCTTTATTCTTTGACACCGTAAGGATGTGATTTCTTTCTGGCTGTGTTGTCTGTGCCTCTGTTTCCAAAACAACAGGCATCCATCACCTCGCTGTTTGTAAGCACTTGAGTGGGGGCATCTCAGAATCCATGATCATTAGCTAATGGGTTAATGGCCCACACTATTCACTGTTTCAGCTTGGCGAAGGGCTTCAGGTGATAACAGATGGGCTCTCAGCTCGAGGAGAGGAGAGTAGAAGAATAGGCCTGTCATGAATAACATTGATACAACAAGCTCAGCAGAAATTCAAGACCTGGGAGTGAAGGGGAGGGGCTGTTTTTCCATGTTTATCTCCAAAAGTGGAGTCATACAAGGTATTTTTTTCACCCAGTCCATCAGATTTTCATCTCCTTGAAGAATCTGTGTAGAAAATGTTCCTGGACATTGCCAAACCCTCAGGGTCTTGTCTACTGCAGTAGACCATTAGTTACTCATTGACAACATTGTCAGTGACAGCACACGTTTCATTAACATCATTATGTTGTGAATGTATCAGATTTTGCAAAAAGTGGATAAAACAAAGAGGACAGAAAATGCTAGGGGGTTTCTTTTCTTAGTCTGGAATTTTGACTTCCTTTCTCAAACTTGAAAAATGCCAAATTACACATTTTAACTAAGACTTTGCTAAGTCCAAACAAAGATAATCGATCTGTACATCTCTGTCACCACAATTGCATCAAGTTCTTCACAAAACTACAGTTATGTTGCTCAAATCAACATGAGCCGAGTTTGAAGCGTTTTCGCCCATGAGCCCTGAGTACTCAGTAATAATCTAATGACTACTGAGTATTAATGGCGTGGAACATCAACATGTTGATGGGCGTTGTTACTGGTGTGAGCTTCAGGCGAGATGGTCTCTAGTTAAGTGTGTTTTCGAATTTGCAGTGTTTGTTTTTTCCATGTGTGTGTTTGCGTCTGTGGGTATTAAGCTCTGCATCAAGCCCCAAACAGCTTCAACATTATTCTTTTAGGATTGGTCGTGGTGACAAATATGGATCTTTTACAGATGAAAGTAAATTAAGTCTTTGTGTGCTGCATCATAATTGTTTGCTGATTATCATTTATGCTGAAGTGTTTTCCTTCTGCCATTAACCCTGATTCATTGCCTCTAATATTTCTGCAAATAATCCAAAACACATTCATCTCCTGGGTGTTTTTGTTGCTATAGCAGACAGTTTTTTTCCTTCCAGTTTTGCCTAGTTATATGACACATATATTGCTTTTCAATTTATCACCTGTGTAATTCAAAATATTGAGCATGTAAACAAATATAGAGCCAATAATTTAAAGCTAGGCATATACCATCGATAACCCCTACAGTAACAAGCAGAACTGGAGCCATTAGTTTCTCTCTGGCTCTTGTTTTATTTAGGCCCAATCCCATTTCACACCTTCCCCTTCATTTTGTGCATTCACATGTAATCCCCATCCTTGTTGGGATGGAGGGGGAGGGTAAAATGTTCGGGCTATACAGCCTTCGAAACAGATATATTCCACACTTCAAACCGAGGGCTATGGAAATTTCCCTGAATGCCTTGCGAATCACCTGCAAGATCGGAGAGAAACCCACATATGTAGTATTTTCACCATTAATAAGGATTGAAAAATTACAATAATAATTATCAAAATAATAATAAGTTGTTTCAATGCATTATGGTCTTTTTTTTCATAACAACCTTAAAAAATCAGGCTCCCTTATTGTCACATAATTTAACCTTGCACCTTTCCTCTTTGAAGACGCACAATGCACTTGATTTAACCAGCGTGTGGCAGCGAGGTTACTGAAATGCTCCTCTTATAATAAAGCATCCTAGCAGGGTTGCATACAGACTAATGCTAGCAGCCTGAAGCTGTAAGCTTTTGATTTATATGTAAAATAATGCAGAGCATCCAAGCTTTTTAATTTCAAACGATATTGATTCATAGATGTTATTTGGATACTAAAGGTTTGTCACTTTAGTAACTGCAAGCAACAGCATTGGATTATTTAAGATGTGAACAATGTTATTACAAGGACATCCCAGGCAAAACTTTTTGTCTTGTTTGTTTACATCGACAACTACTGATGAGGTGTCGGGTTCCCATGAGATCTAGTGATGATGTAACCACTAACCCTGTTTCAAGGGGTAAACCTCGAAAAGAAGGGGTGAGGAGAAGGGGTGAAATGGGATTGGTCCTTAGAGGAGACTGTGGGATACTACACGAGTGTCTTAGTACATGAAAACACACACACACACACACTGGACACACACACAATGTGCCTCTACACAAGTTTAGACCTTTCTTGTGTGTGTTCATATGTGTATAAGTAGTGATAATATCAGAGCTATCAGTGCTATTGATCAGAGGAATGTTGAGGATGGTTAGATGCTGAAACCAACTTACTAACACACGGACACACACACACACTCACTGCTACCATCAACCCCCTTTCAGCCCATTCAATCACACTTCTCTCAGTCCCATGCACCGCTGGATGAGGTTCACACAGCGATCCCCTGAGTGAAAACCACCTGTCCTGCACTCTTATGTACGAAGATTCAATTCAGGAACCTTCTGCCACCAACCACTGCCTGGCGTTACCCCACACTGATCATTTAACCATTTCACTGCTAAACTGAATAAAGAACCTTCGGTTAAAGAGAGTGTGGCGATGCTAGCACCAGTAGTTAACGAAAACTAAGACTAAAACTAGCAATGAAAAAATTATTTAGTTAACTGAAATAAAAATAAAAACTAATGAAAATTTTAAAACTATAATAACCTCGGCTAGCACGACTGCTGTGACTGTGATTCACAGGCGAGGCAAAGTGGTAAAGACCTGGTATGTGCCGTATTGATTTTGTGAAAAATAATGTGTCATGGCTTGCGCTGCTGAGGAGACACCATGACACTGATACATTTGTGTAATAATAGCTGCTATAGCAGAGGACAGAGGCTGTTACAATAACCACTCTGATAGGGGAACTCTCAGTGGCTGTAATGGAAAATGCAATGGATTTATGTATGGTTATTATCTCATTGAGTTTTTATTTGATTACTTTAGAGTGTGCTATAGAGCAATGTGTGGATTAGCATTCCGTAATGTTTGTATCTTGTGTTTTACTGAGATGCTCAGTGCTCGTACAGAGGTCAGAATCCTGCACGGGTAAACCTTAAGTCCCAGACTCAGGTCAAATCAGTACCCACTTCTACCTGTTGACAAATAACCCTCGACTCGACCTGTCACCTGTGACTAACTGCATTTGCTACATACACAATCAGTCTCATCAGCTGAGTTATGGCCTCCTTGTTCTCCTGTGTTGGTGGTCGAGTTGTCTTCTTGGAAAAGTATCTGTGAATTGTCGCAGCACATGTGCTCCTGCAGATGTTCCTAGATTGCAGCTATCAAAAGGAATTTCTTTTTGGTACTTTTACAATCAGCAAAGCCATTGCATGTATTCAGCTATTGCTATTTTTGTCATAATGTGGTTTATTCCAATGCACTAGCTGGTTTGATGTCGTCACTGAAAGTTATCTCTGCAGAAGTGAAGGGGTCACAGGTGGTGTTGTAGGCTTCCACATGGAAATACATCCTTGCAGCTGACTCAGCTTCATTAAGCCAGATTTAGATGCTGAAAATACACTACTATCATTTTAATTTCCGATTTCTCCAGAAAAAAAGTTCTCATCCGCTTACTTCATTTGTATGTGTCTCTTATAGTTGTCTGACCGTAGTTATTCATATAATATGATTTAATGTTCGCCACTGAGGCATTTTTTTTACAATTAGAAATCTACAAGGCAAATCTTAATATTTTTGTCAACGTGCACTCTGGCAATTAATGGGGAAAAATATGCTCCCTCAGAAAAGTATCACTCATTTAATGGTGACAGCTGCTAAAAAAATTTCATATGTTTTACAATTTGCCGTTGTCAATGAGAAGTAACAATTTACCATCAAAATGCATTTCTTGGAAACCTTTCAAGTGATCATCTTAACATCTTTTTTTCCTGTGAAACTGTCAGAGTTTAATACCACAGTGCTTTCTGCTCTTTGACGAGTGTCCCAGAGGAAACATTAAAAGCTAATTGTGGTGTGTTGTCAATTCTGTGAAAGCAATTTAAAAAAAAAAAATCTGTCTATTTGATTACACATGAAAACTCAATTATCTTAACAATATTGTTTACTTACATTTTACTCCCATGCACTTGTTTATCATAACTGATTCTGATAGTGCCAGCAGGCCCCTGCACTCTCACATTGTCAGATCCTCTGTATGAGACGCTTGACGCTGCTAGTGCAGCAGGTCAGTTGACAGTAATGTATGTACCTAATAAACTGGAACAGCCGCGGCTGTAACTCTTGTGTTGATACCAGATCAAACAGGGACACGTTAATAATGGTCTCTCACTGAACCGGTGAAAAATAGCCCTTTACATGACTCTTGGTCCTGGAACAATTCTTAAACTTGGCGTAAGTTACTGCCGCCTCAAATTTCCTCCATGTGGCTCGT